TGGGACTCCTGGACCAGTACTGCCAGGGCTACTGGCGGCACACGGCTGCCAGCCCCCCGCAGCCGCTGGCTGGCCTCAAAGCCAAGGAGCAGCAGGACCAGAAGAAGCCTCGAAACCGCCGGAATCACCAGCCAGAGGCCTATGGGCATACATGAAACCATCATCAGGGACTTTGCTAGCACAGTGGTCTATTTTTCCCCCCTTTTAATATTAAAAATATCTATAAATAAATAAATATATATATATATACATCCACGCACACACACACGCACAGACACATGCACTCCCCCCTCCCACGGGAGGTGGTATTTATTTGTAGGTTGTACATACTCACTGGGGCAATGAGACCCCTGCCTCCTGGCCCCAGGGAGGAGCAGGGACCCCTGAGGTGCCCACAGCCAGCATTGCTGCCTTTCCCCCTGCCCAGTACCCCTGTTCTTGTGCAGGGACCACTGGTCATCACAACCACTGTCTCCCTGCAGCTGGGGCACAGCACTGTGCTGGGGGATGGAGGTCCAGGTGTGGGAGGGGGGACAAATCACAGCCAAGGAAGGTGAGGCAGGAGGAGAGGCAGCCCAGACAAGGTCTGCCCAGCGCAACCTGCACATGGCTGTTGTAGCTTTGTGCCTCAGTTTCCCCACATAGAAACAAATGCTTTCCATGGGGATGCTGCAGATCACCAGGCAAACTGAGGAGAAGGGGGCTGTGGGAGAAGGGTACTGGACCCTGTCCCCTCCTTGGGGGCTTGGCAGGGAGAAGATGGGACCCTCAAGACAAGACTGAGGAGTTCAGGCCATGGTGGGGGCTTGCCAGGGTCATTGGGTAGAGAGGGGAAGGAGAAGGGGGCGTGCTGGGGTAAAACCTCGAGTTACTGGCGCTCAGTGACAGTGGCACCCAGAAGTGTTTGGGGCACCTGGCCCATTAGCCACCCCCTTGGGGCATCCCAGTGGGTGTGGGGAGTTGTAAATAGTTGTACATGGGAAGCACAGGGGCAGCCAAGGGTGAGCAAGTGCCCTGTGCTGCAGCTGGGAGCACCCCCAAATAAACAGTGGCTTTGGGACAGACGTGGGCGCCTCCATGTGCTCTGTTGGGGACGGGCCTGGCCCCCGCCACGTAATCCCCTGAGCCCTGCTGGGGTGCAGAGGGCTGGGCTGCAGCTCCCTGGGGGAGCACTGGGGCACTGAGTGCCAGGGGGCAGCACAGGGGTCACTGAGAGGTGGCAGTACTGGGCAGTACTTCTGGGTGTTGGGGTACACTGGGCTGGGCTGTTGGCTGGCACCAGTACTGGGTCTTGCTGAAGGCACTGGGAGCACTCAGAGTTACTACTGGGAGCACTGGGGAAAGTACTGGAGCCTTAGGATTTTGTAATGGGAGCTGGTATTTGGTGGTCATGGGGCCATGGGGCAGGATGGAGACTTTGCAGGATTGTGGGGGTGGTAGTTGGTGACACTGGACTGTACTGGGAGCACTTTGATCAGTATGGACAGGCAATTGGGGTGGTACCAGGCTCCTCTGAGCTGTGCCAGGAGCCACTGGGGTCAGTGCTGGAGGGTCCTGGGCTGTACTGGGGATAGTAACGTGGACACTGGAAGCTGATACTGGAAGCACTAGGGACACTCAGAGTCAGTAATGGGAGCACCAGGAGAAATACTGGGGCATTAGGATTTGGCACTGGGAACTGGTGCTTGGTGGTACTGCGAGCACTGTTTGGGCAGTGGTAGTGGGCTGTATAGGGGTCACTGGGGGCTGTAGTGGGTGATACTGGGCCATAGTAGGGCACTGTTCAGTACTGGGGCAATGGAGGCAGTACTGGGCTCCTCTGGGCAGCCTTGGTGTGAGTGCTGGAGGGGGCTGGGGCTCTGCTGGGGGCAGTACTGGGCACAGTGACTGGGTGCAGGGCTTGTACTGGGGCACTGGGCTGTACTAGGAGTGGTGCAGGGCTGTACCGGGGGTGATGCAGGGGCGCTGGGCTGTACTAGGGGCGTGCAGGGCCGTACTGGGGGCGCTGGGCTGCACTGGGAGCTGCGCTGGGAGCTTCCGCCCTCTGGCAGCCGAACGCGGCACTGCAGGAACCCCCCGCTTTGGGAACGGGGAAGCGCCGGGAACAGCTTGGGGGACACGGGGGCACTGGGTTGTACTGGGGTCACTGGGGGAATCCTGGCAGGACCTGGGGTCACCGGAGGTGAGGGGACACTGGGGAGTTACTGAGGTGTTTCTGGGAACACTCAATATTACTGTGGCGACCACGATGGCAATGGGAGGCTCTGGGGACACAGGAGGTGGGCACTGGGAAGGGACAGTGAAGAACCTAAGGACATTGTGGGGACTCACTGTGGGGTATCATAGGTGTGGCACTGGGGTGCCCGTGGACGTTGGGCGGGGTACTTTTTTTGGGTGGTCACCACACAGGGAACTGGAATTGTTTGGGGACACTGAGATTTCTTCTTGGATTACTGGGACGTGTTATTGGAGAGGACCTTGGAGATCCTGGGGAGGGTACACGGGCATCCCTGAGGACACTTGTGTAAGTGTTGCTGGAGGGCCTGGGGACACTATGGAGTTGATGCTGAGTTGACCTGGTGGCACTGGGAGTGTGCTGGTGGGTGGCTGGGGACGCTAAGGAGGGCACCCAGTGTCATGGGCACATTGGTGGAGGGTCCTGGAAGGGCCCTGGGGACCCAGGGTGGGGTGACTGGGGCTGCCATTCAATCACTAGGGAGAGTAACCCTGGAGTCACCGGGCACAGAGGACCAGGGACACTGGGATGGCTTGCTGGGGAGGGGCTCTGGGCACTCGTCCAGAGCGGGGGTATGACCAGGTGAGATGGGGACAATGGGGACATTTCCACACACTGTGACTAGACACCAGCAGACACACACTCTCATTCCCCCAGTTCCAAACTCCTGGGATCCACAGCAGAGCTGCATCTGGGTGGGGGTCCCACATCCCCCAGGGTGGCCAGATCACTGCTCCAGCCCCAGGGTGGGAGCAAAACAGGGGGCTGGTTGGTCTGCCCCCCCGGCAGAAGCGCTGACACTGGGAGCTACAGGATTGCTGAGCTCAGCCTGCTGCAGATTGAAGGGGGTTTATCGGGGGGGCCTGGCTTAAGCCCCGGGTGCTGAGCACAGCCCCCTGCAGGCGGCCCCCCGGGACCTTGGCCCCGTCCTTGTCCCACATCGGGTGGGCAGCGGCGGCAGCGGCGGGCACAGGGAGAGAGCGCTGGAGGCGGCGGGGGGCTGGAGCTCGTTGCCCATCCTGGTGCTGACCTCCAAGGAGCGGGTGGTGAGCCGCAGGGCCGCGGGGCCGAGGATGGGCGCCGGGGCCAGTGCCGAGGAGAAGCATTCCCGGGAGCTGGAGAAGAAGCTCAAGGAAGACGCTGAGAAGGATGCCAGGACTGTCAAGCTTCTGCTGCTGGGTAAGGGGGAGACGACACCCTGGGGGACATACCTATCCTTTGTGCATCCCACCCTAAGAGCCCACCCAATGTTCCTCTAGCACCTACCAACACCCCTCAACCCAACCAGCACATCCCACAGCCCCCCCCAAACCCAACTAGCCCACCGAATGTTCTCGTGGCCCCCAGATGGATCCCCTAAAACCACGTAACCCACCCTCACAGCTCACTTAACATTCCCCTGACTTCCCCAGCACTCCTAAAAACAAGCAGCCCACTCTAACAGCACTCCCATTTCCAGCCAGCCCTAAACCCAACCTCCCCATCTCAACAGCCCATCCAATGTTTCCCTGATGCCTCCAGCATCCCTAAACCAGACCAGCACAGCCCAAGAGTGTCCCTAACAACCTCCCACTCCCAGACACACCTAAAACCAACCAACCCCTCCCCTATAACCAAACTAAAGTTTCTCTGACTGCCTGCTAAACCCAACCAGTCCAACAGTCCACACAACAGCCCCTGCTCCTAAGCACCCTAAACCCATCCAGCCCACCCTAACAGTCCCCTGACTTGCTTGGCACCCCTAAAAGCAACCAGCACACCCTAACAGCCTACCTCATGTTTCCCTCACACCCTCAGCACCCCTAGACCCAACCAGCCCTTGCCAACAACCTCCCGTTTCCCTCACCCTCAGCACCACTAAACACAACCAGCCAACCCCAAAACCCCACAGTGTTTTCCTCTCCCTGTCAACACCCCTAAACCCAACCAGCTACCCCAATATCCCCCCACTCCCAGGCCCCCCAACCCCAACCAATCCATCCCAAGAGCCTTCAGCAGAAGCACCTAACAGCACCCCATCCCATCAGCCCCCCCTCCTCCTAAGGATCCCCATGCAGCCCCCTTGTACTGCAGATCCTTCCCAGTCCCTCCTGGTGGTGCCTGAGGACTGGGATGTCTTGTATTTGGTGAGGCCATGGCTGCAATCATGGCCTGGCCCAGGACATGCCCCTCTGCCCTGCCAACAGGCTTGGGGCATTGAGTGGTGGGTGGTGGGGTTGCCATGCCACCATGTCCCCAACCCCTCCCTTGGGTCCCCGAGTGCATTCCCGGCTGAGCTGCTGCAGATCCCATTAGCCACAGCAGCTCAGCCCAGTCTTAATGCCACTGGCACCTGCTGTAATCCCTCTGCACGCCCTGAGCCATGGACCTGGCACAGCCAACAGGGCCCCGAGCCGTGTCAGACTCCAGGGGTCCCAGTGGGACAGCGTGAGGCACAGTTTGAGGGGTCCATGGCATGGGCACTGCCATGACCTGTGTTCTGTCCCTTCAGGAGCAGGAGAGTCGGGAAAGAGCACCATTGTCAAGCAAATGAAGTAAGTGCCAAGGAGGGGTCACTCGGCCATGCCCCACAGTGCCATGTGCCTGTCCCACAACACAGCCACAGGGTGCCCCTGTCCCACCATGGCTGGCTCTGCCCCATGCCACAGCCATGGGGTGTGCCCACCCCCTAGTGTGTGGCTCAGCCCCATTGCACCCAGCTCAGCCCCATGCCTCCCTCTCTGGCCAGGATCATCCACCAGGATGGTTACTCGCTGGAGGAATGCCTGGAGTTCATTGCCATCATCTACAGCAACACACTCCAGTCCATGCTGGCCATCGTGAGGGCCATGACCACCCTCAGCATCCAGTACGGGGACACAGCTCGCCAGGTGAGGAGCATCCCATGCTGGCAGAGGGTCCCTGCAGCCCCCTGGCCCCACTGAACCCTTCTCCCTCGTAGGATGATGCCCGCAAGCTCCTGCACCTCTCAGACACCATTGAGGAGGGCACCATGCCCAAGGAGATGTCAGAAATCATCGGGCGGCTCTGGAAGGACTCAGGCATCCAAGCCTGCTTTGACCGTGCCTCCGAGTACCAGCTCAATGACTCTGCGGGCTAGTATGTGGGGTGGGGGGTGTGGGCAGGGGGAGGGGTCAGGCAGGGGGTTCCAACCTGTGTCTCATGCCCACCACGTGCCCGGCCAGCTATCTGTCAGACCTGGAGCGCCTGGTGACCCCCGGCTACGTCCCCACAGAGCAGGATGTGCTGCGTTCCCGGGTCAAGACAACCGGCATCATCGAGACCCAGTTCTCCTTCAAAGACCTCAACTTCAGGTGGGGGCCAAGCTTCCAATGAAGGCTGGTGCCAGGGGTGGACAGGGGGATGGGGGACACTGACTCTTCCTTGTCCTGCCCAGGATGTTCGATGTGGGCGGACAGCGCTCAGAGCGGAAGAAGTGGATCCACTGCTTCGAGGGGGTGACCTGCATCATCTTCATCGCGGCCCTCAGCGCCTACGACATGGTCCTGGTGGAGGATGACGAAGTGGTGAGGAAGGCTTACCACATCACACCCCCTCTCCTGTGTCCCCATCATGACATGGGGGGTCACCATGGGGCTGTGTCCCTCCACAGAATCGCATGCACGAGAGCCTGCACCTCTTCAACAGCATCTGCAACCACCGCTACTTCGCCACCACCTCCATCGTCCTCTTCCTCAACAAGAAGGATGTCTTCCTGGAGAAGATCAAGAAGGCCCATCTCAGCATCTGCTTCCCTGACTATGACGGTGAGTGCAGCAGCAGCTGGTGGTGGTGTGGTGCTGGTGGAGGGTTGGGTGCCACCACCCCGCCGCAGTCCCCCACCAGGTGTCCTCAGTACCCCGTGTAAGTGATGCCACACGAGCCTTGCCCACCCGAGGGAGTGTTGGATGATGCTGGGCCAGCACCCTTAGGGGGACACCAGCCCAGGAGGGGAACCCACTCACTGCCATGCCACCAGGTCCCAACACTTACGACGATGCGGGCAACTACATCAAGGTGCAGTTCCTGGAGCTGAACATGCGGCGGGATGTGAAGGAGATCTACTCCCACATGACCTGTGCCACCGATACCGAGAACGTCAAGTTCGTCTTCGACGCCGTCACTGACATCATCATCAAGGAGAACCTCAAGGACTGCGGGCTCTTCTGAGCCCCAGACCAGTGCCCCGTCCCCAGTCCAGTCTCCCCCTCCTCTGAGACCCAGCACTGTTGCTACCCTCACCCCACCTCCACAATCATCTCCATTTGCCTCAGGATGTGACCCCAGAGACACTCTTGGGCTGGGGCCACAAACTCACTCCCCCTTCCCACCAGTCCCCCCACCAGCCAGCACTGTGGGGCACCCAGTGCCACTGGGGGTCCCTGGGTGATCCTGGGTGCTACACGGTGCTGGAGACTCATGGGTGCTGTGGGTCCCTGGGTTCCCTTTGGAGCTGAGGGGTGCTAGGGGTCTCCAGATGACCCTTGGCACTGGGGAGACTGGGGGACTTCAGGTGCCCCTTGGTACTGGGAATCCCTGGTACCCCTTTGCAGCTGAGGGGTGCTAGGGGTTCCCTTGAGTGCTGGGGTGTCCTAGATATCCTTTGGAGCTGGGGGTTGCTGGGGGGGTCCCTTGGGTGTTTCTGGGTGTCCATGAGTGCACCGCGGAGCTGGGGGATGCTGGAAGTCTCCAGGAACCCCTTGGAGCTGGGACCCCCTTGGGTGTGGGGTGCCCATGGGTGCTCCCTGGATCTGGGGGTCCTTGCAGGCTGCTAGGTGCAAAGGGTGCTACATCTCCCTCTGGGCTACAGGTCACTGGGTTCTCCAGGGCACTGAGTGTCCCCAAGGACTGTGTGATACCAGGGCCTCCTGGTTGCCACCATCCTCTAGCTGCAGAGCCAGGGGGTGGTCATGTGTCCGTCCCCACCCTGCAGCCCCCTCAGGGTGGGGCTCAGCCCTGAAGCAGCATCCCAGCTCCATCCCCGAGGGCCCCACCCCTGCTCCCACCTCCCATATACCCAGGGGCTTCTGCTGATCCTGGTGGGATACCAGCCCACCTCGTGTCCCTCTCCCACCCCAGGGCCCCCCCCCATTCCACCCACAGAGATGAAGCCCCCCTGCCCACCCCCGTGTCACAAAGGCAGTTTCAGTACATGTCTTTTTCTTTTTTTTTTTTTTTCCTTTCTACATTTTATTATTTCAAACCGTGTGAACAATTCGGAAAAACATCCTGTGGGAAAAGCGAGGCCGCAGGCACCGGCTGAAGGGTCCCCCTTGGGCTGGGGGGGACAGCGGGGGCCGCTCTGTACAGCGGGCTCTCCTCGCCCAACACAACGGCTAGACCTAAAAACTAGGCTTAGAAAGAGGGGGGGGGAATAGAGGCAGCGGGCAGCACCCCCTGCCCACCCTCCTGCCTGGGCTGCCCGTTGGGATGGGGGCAGTGAGGCGGGGTGGGGTGCAGACCCTCCCCCCCAAGGCACACGGTTGGGGGGTGGGCTGGCCACGGAGGACGCCGCCACCACGTAGCACTTGATGCTTTTAAATAGTTTGGTAAAAAGGTTTCTTTAAAAAGCAACCTGGCCCCAACCGGTGTGGTGTGGGTTTTTTTGCATGGTTTTGGGTTTGGGTTGTTTTTTCTTTTCCTTTTTTTTTTTTTTCTTCTTCTTCTTTCTTTTCTGGTTTACTAAAAGGAATGTCATCGGTCGTGTTTGTGGCCAGGTGGGCATCCCCGAGGGGACCCTGTGCCCCCCATGCCAGCAACACTTGCAATGTAAACAGTGAGAAGAGCACCAGGGCTCAGAGTGAATGAAGTGGGGGCTGGAGCGGTTCAGGGGTTACAAACCAAGATTAAAACCTTGTCTTCCCTGGGAAGGGCGACGCTGGCGAGGAGGAGGAGGAGGACAATGGTGGGGGGCAAGCACGGGTGGCAGGAGGGACATGAGCCCTGCCACCGTGCTGGCACCCAAAAAGTCTCTTTATGGGGTGGGGACGGAGGGATGAATCCAAAGAGAAGCAGGAGTGGGGAGTGGCGTGGTCCTTCCTTTGGGGGTCCTAGGAGAGAGTAGAGGTGAGCAGGGGAGGGTCTGGGGACAGGGGGCAGCCTGCGGGTGGCAGGCAGTGCCCAGCCCATCCCCAGAGGATGCTTCGTGACCACACTATTTTGGGGGGGCCACCACTGGGATCATCACCCACCTGGGCAGCGCCACACTCAGAAGAGCCCACAGTCCTTCAGGTTGTTTTTGATGATGACGTCGGTGACGGCGTCAAAGACGAACTGCACGTTCTTGGTGTCGGTGGCGCAGGTGAAGTGGGTGTAGATCTCCTTGGTGTCCTTCCGCTTGTTCAGGTCCTCAAACTTGCTCTGGATGTAGCTGGCTGCCTCGTCATACTTGTTGGCCCCTGGGGAGGAGGAGACACTGGGCTGCCCCACAGTCGCCCACGGCCACCGGCACCCACTGCCACTGGCACCAAAGAGTTTTGGGCCTGGCTTGGCTCCCCGTGCTGCCACAGCCACTGCCCCAATGCCAAACTGATGTTCCAAAGGCAGAGTGAGCCTCACCTAATGCCCTAGGGCTGCTGCCCCTCGTGTTGTGTCCTCCCACATCTTCCCCCATCCCCTGGGACACTCCAAACACCACCACACCCCACTTGCTGCCCCAACACACTGCTCCTCAACAGGAGAGCCATCTCCATCCCCAACACCTCCTACTACTCGGCCCAATACCCCTGCGAGGAGAACAGGTCTAGCCGTTGCGTTGGGCGACGAGAACAGGGGGGTACTGCAGGTCCCAGTGGTACCTGTGTACTCAGGGAAGCAGATGGTGAGGGAGCTGTGCACGATCTTCTCCTCGAAGAGGTCCTTCTTGTTGAGGAAAAGGATGATGGACGTGTCTGTGAACCACTTGTTATTGCAGATGCTGTCAAACAGCTTCATGCTCTCATGCATCCGGTTCTGGCAGGGGAGATGGCAGTGTGAGCTGGACAGGGAACCCCAAGCAGCACCTACCCCACTGCTCCCCACCCTGCCACCTCCCATGTTCCTGCCTGCCCAGGCCAATGGGCCTGCAAGGCTTGGACCACACTGGCAGCCTGCAGAGGAGGGGGTGCTCCCCCAGTCCCTCAAGGAGGGAATGGCTCACAGCGCTGATTCCATCTCTGTGACTCACCATCTCCTCATCTTCAGCCAGGACCAGGTCATAGGCGCTCAGGGCCACGCAGAAAATGATAGCAGTCACCCCCTCGAAGCAGTGGATCCACTTCTTCCGCTCCGAGCGCTGGCCACCCACGTCGAACATCCTGCAGCAGAGAGGTGATGTGGGGATGGGCAGCAGCTCCTGGCCCCACAGCCCTTGCCCCATGCCCTGACTCAGTGTCCCCAGCTGCCCAGAGCAGGAGCAGCACAGGCATGGGCACAGCACAGTGCCTCTGCCCAAGGGTTTTGCCAGTGCCGAAGATCTGCCCTGGCACCTGCTGCCTATCTCAGGGACAGGGCAGTCTCCAGGCTCTTTTCCCAACTGGAGCAGATTCCTGATGTGAGCCAGGGCAGGATCAGGCCACCTTTCCCAGGAGGTGTCACTGTGATGCTTCCCAGGGACCTGTTCCAGAGTGGGCACTGCTGGGCTTTGCCAGAGACCTTGGACCAAGGGAAGCCAAGTGGCTGCAGGCTCAGCAGGACTGCAGGAGCACAAGGGCTCAAGGATGACCCCAGTGCACTGTGTGCCTCTCCTGCCACAGGCAGCAGAGGACGCCCTGCCTCCACAGGGAAAAGCACAGCAGCAGCACCATGGTCACGTTCACTGGGGCTGGCAGGAAGGCTTTCCCACTGGGACTCGCTGCATCCCGCCCCCCCCAAGACCCCCATCACTGCCACCTCCAAAGCACTGCCCTGGTGACGTGTGACCAAGCATCTCCATCCCACCAGGGTGGCACAGGGGTCCCTGAGAGCCTCCTGCCTTCAGAGAGGACCCCAGCAGATCCTTCTGACATCAGCTCTGTTGCCATGGGACTAAATCCCCTGGGATGTGCGCAATGCCAGCTTTTTGCCTCAGAAACTGGAGCCCTGACTATTTTCCGTGGGTTTCAGTGGAAAGCAACCACGGGGTGCCAGCAGGCAGCAGTGCCAGTGCCTGACCCCAAGACCCCAGCTCCTCCCCAATGCCCTTCCCACAACGGAAGCAGCGTCACTGCACCCGGAGGATGAATGTCTTTCCCCTTCCCCTCCGTGCCAGAGCCTGGATCCGCCCCTGGGCTGAGCCCTGCGATGCGTTTTTGAGGCTGTTCCAGCTCTTTCAGCGGTTTCCGCTCTCTCTGAGGCAGCAGTTCCCACCATGAGCAAACCCGGGGCAGGGGAACTCGGTGTATGCAGCATGCAACCAGGATCCATCCCGGCATGGGGAGGAAGGGGTTTTTTTTTTGCCATGGGAAAGGCAAAAGGGAAAGGGTTGGACATACTTGAAGTGCAGGTCCTTGAAGGTGAAGTGGGTCTCTACAATGCCAGTGGTCTTCACCCTGGTGCGCAGCACATCCTGCTGGGTGGGGATGTAATCGGCACGGGCTATCCTCTCCAGGTCGTTCAGGTAGCTGGGGAGTAAGAGGAAAGGTGCTGTGGGAGCTGGACTGTGGGGCAAAACCTACCAAATCCCACAGGATATCCCCACACCATCCCAGACATCCCCTGGTCATCTCCCAGTATTGTCCATTCAGGGTGAGCAGTGCCGAGCTGGGCAGCACAGTGGGGGCCCCATCTGCACCCTGGGGTCACCCCGTGTCCCTGCCAGACACAGGCAGGGCAGGACACCAGGAGTGGCACGGGACACACAGGACCGAGGGACTGGGGGGCAGTGTGCTGGTGCTGGGAGCCAGGCAGAGGATGCAGCCAGAGCAGAGGGGCTCACCCTGTTCCCCCAGCCGTTTGCACAGGGGGGAAATGGCAAGGGGAAAATATTCAGCGCTATGGCAACCAGCCGCAGCACCGGCGGAAACAATCGATGGCGCCGTGCCATTTATAGTCAAAAACACAAAGGGACGGCGTCCTGGGAGGAAGCGGGAGGCGGGCGGCCGGAGAGACAGGGAGCAGCACAGCGGGGAACTGTGGCCATCCCCGGCCATCGCCTGCCCTGCTGCCCACACAGGCTCCCAGCAGCGGCGGTGGCCGGGTCCCCAAGGCGCAGCGCCCACCGTGACCGTGACAACCAAGAACTGCCGGGGGGGATCAAGGCGGGTTTTGATTTTTCCAGCTCACATTGCTTTAATTGGGTTACTGCAAACGGGCTCCTTTAAGCAAATTAGGCTTGTCTTAATTAGGGTATTTGCAGAGTCATAATCTGGTGAAAGCCAGATTACAGCCCGCAAGGCCATAGGGATCCTTGGCTCTGGCGGCAGCACGGCCGCTCGCCAGCTCCTGGGAAACCCTGCAGCATGCTGGGGCAAGGCCGGGCTGGAGGTGCACCAGGACCCTGCCGTGTGTGTGAGGGCAGGGGGTCGGCACGTTGTCGCTGCAGAGCAGCTCAAAAACAGCCGGAAACACAGACAGCCTCCGGCTGACAAAAAAACAGGAAACACCGCGGCAGGGCCCTGCGCTGCGCCAGCGGCTCTCGGACCTTGCGCCAAGCCCCAGGGTGCTGGTGAGCACCACCCTGGCACCCCAAGCTCCTGGGATCCTAAGGCACTGTGAAGGAGGAGGCTGCAGCTGCTGCAGAGGGCTGGGGCACAGGTGGGCTGCGTGCCAGGCACAGCACAGGGCTCCTTATCCCCGGGCTGCTCTCTGCCAGCAGCACAGTGAGCACAACATCATTCCCACGGGATGGGCAGGGCATCAAGCACCACACTAGCATCTCTACAGGGCTGGAAATGGGCTGGAGCAACAGCTTGAGGGCACTCCTAATTAATGGTTGTCCAGCCCCCGCCATGCTCCATAACAGCTCTAACAGCAATACACAATTCCTAGACACTGTGCAAATACAGTTGCTCCAACTTTGTGTGTGAGCTGCCAGGTACCTGCCAGGTGTCCCCTGCCCCCAAACCTTCACCCACTGCTGGGGAAATGCCTCAGTGATGGGGCTGAGCAGACAGGAGCCAGGGAGGGCGGGTGTGTGCCGGTCAGGAGGAAGTGAAACCCATGGGTGTTGGGGGAAAGCACTGCCAGGAGCTTCTCCAGAGTTGGCACTTGCCAGGAGCTTTCCTGCAACCTCTTCCCCACAACAACCTCAGTACAGAAGAGGGACCCAGCAGTGCCACGCAGGAGGGGACAGCTGGGGGTTGGACAGCTCTAGGCTGGCAGTGAGTCCCAAGCATGCTGGTGGAGCCAGGCTTGGCGGGGTGTTCCTGGCACACCATGAGCTCCCCTGCCACACTTTACCATGAGGGCACTGTGCAAGCTAAATGCAGATTCATCTGTGTTGCCCTCTCCAGCAACGGTACATTAGGCAGATTAACTTATTTATTAATCTCTTCAAGGATAAACCCGACCAGATGCATCAATTTATCTACCTAAACACTGGTTTGCTGGATAATGTGCCAGTTTAAAGCTGAGTCTTTCCATATAAAATCAGCTAAAAAGAAAAAGAAAAGCCTCTTGAACGTTCTACTCATCCTCTTCAGACCTAAGTGTCCCCAGTGCTTTCCTTGGGGTTTTTTCTTGCCTTCATGGCCCATGAAGAGTGAGGAGGGTGGGCAGGATCCCAGATGTGTTCATATGGGGGAGCCACTGAGAAGCACCCCCCGGGGAAGGGTAGTGGGCACCGAGCAGTGGAAGGAGGGAGATGCCCCGGTGCCCCCCCTCCCAGGGGACACAGCACCCCACTAGAGGAGGAAACTGCTTTCGAAACATCCGCCTTCCCAGTTCTGCTCCAGCTCAGCCCCAGCATCGCGTGGGAAGTGGCAGCACCAGCCCCAAGCCTGGCAATGGAGAACAGAGGCCCCCAGAGGGATTTTCTGCTGCTCGATAAAAGCGCCGCGGTCCACAGGGCCCAGATCAGCCAAGCTGGGGCAGAGGAGCAGGGGTACTCACTAGGCAGCAGAGTCGTTCAGCTGGTACTCTCTGGAGCGGTTGAAACAGGCCTGGACCCCGTTGTCAGCCCACAGCCTCCGGATGACATTGGCCAAGTCCTCCGGCATGATGCCCTGCTCCTCAGCGGTGCAGGAGAGCGCAAACAGCTGCCGAGCATCATCCTGCAGGGAAAAAACAGAGCTTGAGCACCGGCACCGGATCAGCAAAGTTCACTCTGCTCCAGAGGACCTGACTGCAGCCCAACGGATCCCACACAGACAGCACAGTGGAAGCTCCTGTGGTGGATGGGGATGAGACCCAATGGAAGCAGCAGGAACCCCACTCCTGCACCCATCAGGGGCTGTGCCAGTGCAGCTACTCATGGGTTATGCTTTGGGTCCTCCCATCTTCAGTGCCAGAGACAGGAGGACACAGTCATCCAGGGAACAGCAGGGCTTGGGCAGGGCCACTCTTAATCCTGGTCCAGCTTTGGGCACATCTGCTTTAGCCCCCAAGAACCCTCATCCCTGCCAGGCGTGGTGAGAGCAGGAGGGTACCCACCGCTCTGGAGGAGTCTCCAAAGTCAATCTGCAGGTTCCCCATGGCCTTGATGATGGCCATGATGGACTGGATGGTGTTGCTGTAGACCACAGCTTTGTACTGCCGGCACTCCTCCTCTGAGTAGCCATCCTCGTGGATGATCCTGAGGCAGGGGAGAGACACAGACAAGGTCAGCCCTTTGGGGGGCACTGCAGGGTGCTGCTCCCCACCCATGCTCTGTGGCAACACCGATGGGGAGCCTTCCCCAAACGAGGGGAAAGGTATGAGGTCTGAGTGGTGTTGGCCACAGCGACAGTGCAGGGACCACTCACTTCATCTGTTTGACAATGGTGCTCTTCCCAGACTCGCCGGCACCTGCGGAGAAATAAGAAGGGAAGATTAGGTCCTGCTCAAAGCCAGGGACCCCCACCCAACTGGGACACCCCTCCAGCCCAGGGAGGGAACACGGCAGGTGCCTCAGCCATCAGAGAAGAGCTCCCAGCATTGGTGAGAGTGGATGTTTGGATGGGCACCAGGAATATCAGGACCAAGAAAGAGGGAGGAAAAGGGGAACCTGTGGGGGACCTTGCAATAGTTCCTGAGGGGAGAAATGACACCTGTTCTGGGCCAGGAAATTGGCATCAACACACTAACATTTCCCCATGATCCCAGCACACCACAGTCAACTGGATACCCCAGCTTTGGGGTATGCTCACTGCGTGCCCACGGCTGGAGCTGGCAGAGGCCAGGATGCAGGGATGCTCATGTCACCAGGTATGGGCAGGGAACTCAGGAAGAAGTTGCCACCTCCACCAGCCAGCTCGAGCGATCCCAGCGGGACCAGCCGCCCCCGGGTTGGTTCTTAAATAGCACACACTTCCCAACCTGCCGGGTCCTGTGTCCCAGCTCACGGCAGAGGCAGCTGCCAGCAGGGAAAGTCGATGGCTTTTGGGGTCATTCTGTTTTTCAGCATCCAAACGCAGGGTTCCAGAAGTTCAGAGGGACAGCCAGGGTGCCCAAGGTTCCCCCTCCTCCACCCTGTCCCCCTTAGGGATGTCATCCCTACGCAGGCAACGTGCAGCCTGGCCCAGCCCTCTCTCCCCAGGCTGCAAGCAGGGAAGGAGCAAAGTCACCCCGGTTGCAAGAAAGGGGAAGCTGAAAGGGGAAGCTGAAAGGGGCGGTGCATGTCCCTTGTCCCCACGAGATGGATGAGTGCCTGTCTTGTCTCACCCTGAGACCCTCACCAGCCTCTTTGGCTGAGGACCAGTGTGGTCCTTGCCTCTGGGTGCAGGTCCCAGGGGATCTCCCCAAGCCAAGTCCATTCCTGTGTCCTCTTCCTGTCCATTTTCAGTCCATTCCTGTCTCCCCAACACTGCCCTCGGCCACGGAGCTGCCCTTACGGGGGGCCCCAAGGGCTGCGCCAGCACAGCCGCAGAGGGGGCAGAGAGATTACAAGGAGGTTAAAAAAAAAATTAGAAAAAAAAAAAAGGAGATTATGCTAAAATTAACTGGCAATAACAGGGCCCGTCATGCCAGCTGGGACATGGCACAGGGAGTAAACTCCTTCTGCACATGTCCCCGGCCTGAATGCCACCCAGGTGATGGGCATACGCCCCCAGGGACACCACGGCAGCACTGCTCAGGGTACAGAGCACCCTGATGCCGGGGCCACACTGAGGCTATGCAGATCCTGTATTCATTGCCATGAGCACCCTGCTCCATGGTTCCCGTGCCATATGTGTCGAGGGAGAGGCTCTGCTCAGCTCAGAGGTCACCATTCGGCACTGCAGGGGCTCTCCGGCACTGCCGACCGATCCTCCTCTGGCGCCCTCAGGATGCTGACGCGGCACCCAGCAGAGTCCAGCCAGCGCTCGTGGTCAGTGCTGGCAACTCCTGCCCGGAGCTGGGAGCAGGGGGGAAGGACTCAGCATATCCCTTCATTTTTTCCATTAAATACCTCTGGTTTCTGACACCGTGTACGGCTGGGTCGGGCAGCTAGAGCCAGCTGCACTCACCCTGCCCTTCCCTGACGGGTGCCTGGACAGGGAAACTGAGGCACGTGGCAAGCAAGGACCCTGCTTATCAGCATCCCTGGGGAGAGGTGCCAGACAGCCAGACAGCTGTTTCCCATTCTCCTGCTCTGCCTTATCCTGACATTTGCTCCCTGCCAGGAGGGAACAATCCCCCTGGGACCTCCTGCCTGCAGGAGTGACAGTCACAGGGTGACCATCACCAAGGCTGACCATTTCCTCGCAAACTTCCCCAGCGTCTCCCAGCTTCTTCCCTGCTCCATGTGGAAGGTGGCCATGCTGTTTCCCCCTGTTTCAAGTCAGCACTTCTGCCTGCCACCAGGAGCTCACCTAGCCCAAGAGGCTGTGTACTTGCATTGAGCAGGAATTTGGGTCTTAATTAAGACCCTCCCTCCTGTGTGGGGAACCCTCCCCGGCCCCCCCGGTGAGGGCGGCAGAGGGGAAGGGTTTCCAATCCCCGGAAAACCCCAGCTGCCGCCCATTCAGCCCCAAAACAATTCCTGGGCCGGAAGCCAACAGCCGGCTTCCACCCTCAAGCCCAGCCCAGGCAGGACGAGGCGCTGTCTGGAGGGGCTTTGCCTCCTCCAGACCCCCCTGGCAGCATCAGGGGGGACAGAGAGACCCTCCCTACCACCATGGGCTGACCCCACAGCTGTGCTCTCTCCAGCCCTGCCTCTCTGCCAGGAGCAGGCAGTTCCCAGGGCAGTGCCTGGCAAAACAGGAGGAGAGCTCTCTCTAGAGCTCATTTCCTCCTTTTTTTGTTAAAAATAATCTTCAAAACTTAAAATAAGCAAGCAGCTGCCCAGCTCCAGAACACCCTGCTGATCGACTGGCAAAAAGTTTATTGAGCCAACATATATATTTTGCAGCCCACGATTTATGACGCTTTCTGGGCAGTAGATATTTAATGCAATATACGCACATAGTTCTGGGCAGCACATATGTAATCCCTATATTTTAGGAGCTGGCCACAGGTTTCAGGATCCACCTCATCCCGCATCACCAAGAGCGGATTTTCCATTTTTCCACACGGCACCATCACGTTCTATGCCTTCAAATATCCAGGCATGGATGGAAGCGATGCACAGCTGGAAAATTTGCCTTATTACGGGGGAAAAACTGGAATTCAATCCACCAGTGGGTCCAGAGCCATCTCCATCCCCAGCAGCTGAAGCCCCATCCCCAGACACTGTCCCAGCAAGTTTTCCCAGCCTGGCAAGCAGCAGCTATTATTTGAGCATGGATTTACTGATAGGTTTTAGTTCTGGACAAACACACCAATTCCTTTCCCTGCAGGACAGACAGATGGCTGAACAGAGGGATGGCTGCAGAGCCCACCCCCCCTCAGCACCTGTGGGGTCCCCATCATCAAATGGGGCTGTCAAAGGGGTGTCTTAGAAGCAGAGTTACCCTAAAGACTCAAAAACTAACAATAAAAAGAGATTCCCCTCAACATTTTCCTTCCTACCCAAAATAGATGGAAAATTGCTGTAAAAATAATCACATTTTTTTAAAACCCCACGGTGACATAGGGCGTTTTTCCCAAGGGCCGTCCCATTCCAGCACAGGGCTGGCTGCTTCCCAGAAGGAGCCTGTGCATCAACAGCTGGTGGATGCCACGTCCCCAGGCAGGACCTCAAAAAACTGGGGGGCACTAGGGAGGCACAGACTCCCCTGTCCAAGGCAGCCGATGGAGATGCAGAAAAAAAACCCAACAAAAGTAAATAAAATAGAAATAAACTGGCAGCAGGAAGGATGCTCGGAGCACACAGGGAGGAGGTGGGCTGGGTATGGTTTCCCAGGGGGAGCATGGAAAATGCCAACAAGGCCTGCCGGTGTTCGCAAGCTGGACAAAACTACCCTTGTGCCGGGCTTTTTCCAGGAATCCTGGAACTCTGCTGCTCAGTTTCTGACCCTGCCACAGCCAGAGTGGTCCCTCTCCCCCTCCGCTGAGTGCCCCCAGGCCTGGGTGCCAGCCATGCCATCCCCTCCACGCTGCCCTGACGGGATGGGGGCTCACACGCTGGCACCCAAATCCCCCCACCTGAGTTTTCCACCAATGGGATGGAGGATTACTCAGCTCCCCCCGCTCTGGTGATTCAACCAGTCTCCAGCCCGGAAACCCACGCTCCGGGCCTGGAGCAGGAAACCCGGTGGCTGCGGAAAGGCCAGGCCAGCCCTGGCTATAAACAGTGCTTGGGGACACCGTGATCCCACAGCACTCACTGGCACCCACAGCCCTGGGTGGGCTCAGACCATGGGAGATCTTCTTCCATAAAGCTATATATATATAGGCAAAGCAATATATATATATATACACTTTTTGATATACATAAATCAATGTATATATTGCTCCATACAAAAGAGCAATGTGTGTATACATATATATACACAAAATGCAATTTATATATATTTTAAAATAGAAAATATATTTCTAATGAGTATGTGAAAATATATGTAAAATATATACACATAAGCCTGCTGCTTCCCCTGGGCGAAGCGTAAGTGCTCATCTTGGAGCAGAGGGCAGCTGCCTGCCTCTGGGATTTCACCAGTGGGGGCATGAGAGTGACTCATCCCAGGGCTTGGGTGCTGGGGTCCTTCCTCCCATCCCATCCCCCCCTAACCCATCCCAAGTCCATACACCAGCTCCAGGGGGTTGGATGTGGGGTCCTCTCTGGATCTAACAGCACTGAGTTCTTCCCTGTTCACCATGACACCTCGTGGTCCGTGGTCACAGTGAAGGCAACACAGCCCATCACCCAGGGTTGGGGCAGGAGGAAGGACAGAAACAACTCCCCAAGACAGGATGAAGCACAACAAACCAGGCGGCTCATACGGAACTCAGGGCAGTGCCGGGGCCACACAGCCTCTGAAAGTCACAGCTGGTCCCTCCCTTCCTCTATTTTTATGCAAGCCTAAAAAAAAAAAACCCAACAAAGTGGCTTCCGAGCCCTGCCCTGACCGCCCTTGCCCTGGCCACGGCTGGAACAGGCAGCTCCTGCGTGACGTCCTCCGGTGCCACCGCGCCAGGGGGGTGCGAGGGCAGCGTCCTCGTCCTGGGGTCTGCACCTGCAGCACTGCAAACCTCTGGGGATCGACATGACCAACCCACCAGCACCTTCCCCATCTCTAGTGCAGCTGAGAAATCCTTTTGCTTTCCTAATGCTCCTAAGATAAGGGATAAGGGAGTTTGAACACGGTGATCGCTTGCCTGCTGCCAATCCTGCATCCCGCCCAGAGCATCCCACAGGCAGGGAGGTGGGATGGTCAGAACACAGCCTCCAGAAGGAGGTTGTGGCTTCAGGGGTTTGAGTCCTGGTGATGCCCAGGAGCCAACAGTGGTACCAGGAGGTGCTAGAAATGCTGCTGCACGAGGTAGATGCTCCAGGTGCTTTTCAGTTGTCGGTGGTGGCTCCTGGCCTCTCCCAGCACCAAAACCTTGGGAGACTGCAGGTTTCCAGTGGCAGGGAGGGGGACATTGCTTTGTTTGTGGGGAATTGCTTCATCTGGGGAGGATCGCTTTGTCTGGGTCTTCCTGTCAGACACTGGAGCTTCAAACTTTCCAGCGCACAGTGGATTTGCCAGCAGAGGAAAACCTGCAGACATCGAGAGGTGGCACGGCAGGAATGGTGCTGCGTCCACGCCTGCGGAGCCGCACTCCATTGCGAGGGGTCCTGCACTGACAGTGTGTCCATCCCTCTCCAGCTCACTGCCACAGCACAGGAAAGGCAGAAGCAGGCTCACCACACACAGGGCATGGCACAGAGCCAAGGCAGCTGCACCAGTCAGCCCCAAGCCCTCCATGGTCCTACAGTCGCGATGCCACTGCCGCACACCGAGACCGTCACCCTCTGCTCACACCACGTCCTGCCGGCAGCGGTGTCCCAGCTCCAAGCTTTGGTTGTGGGACAGCACAGGTTGCCAGCAAAAAACATGCCATGCTTGGAAGAGGCATCTCCTCCTCACGCCGCAGGTTGATGCGGCACAAAGGGTAAAGCTGTTTTTCTCCTTAGCTTTTGCCCCTCCCTTTTCCTGAAGGAGGCAGGAGGGCTGCAGCCCCCAGGGAGGACTGTGGAGCTCTGCCTTGCTGAATGCAACCAGGAGCTGTGGGGTTGACCAAAAATTGCCCACCTGGCCTCATGTGAGGCCTTGGGTCTCCTCAAAGCTACCCCTGACCATAGGGGAAAAAAATAAGCCATAGGAAGGGTGAGCAGCAGGGTAGTGAGAGCACCCCCTGGCACTGTGGTCTCACCAAAGGGGTTCTTGCAGAAGTGGGGTATGTTACAAGCAGCAGCCCCCCGGGTGGGAGGGCAGTGCTGGCCACACCTCCCCAGCCACTCCCTGACCAGCTGTGGTTGGGTTCAGAAATGGGCACTGATGACCCAAGGCTCTGATGCTATTGACACCTCAACAGCTTCAAGGGGAAGGGAAAAAAAACCTTAGAAAATGTACAGAAAGAGCCACTGAGCTCTATTTTTGGCTTTAGAAACCAACTGAGTTCAGAAATGCCGCTCGTAAATGCCGGCCCCAGCAGAAGGGAGTGTGGACATCCTCCTTCTCCTCCCGCCTCCCCTTCAGGACAGATCGAGACCCAGGAAAGGACATCAGCCAGTCAGCCCAGACCATGATCCCTGCTCTCTGGCAAGCCCCTAACCACCCCTCGGTGACGCTCAGTGCCACTGGAGTGATGCTTTCCATCCCAGACGGTCCCAGGAGCCTCCCATAGGAGGTTCCAAACCCCCTGGCCAGCTACAATCCCCATTACTCCCCACCAGGCAGCAGTCCGAGAGGAGCCAAGCCAGCAGCGAGGCCAGCACGGGAGCAGCTCACGGCAAAGGGGGACCACGTGTTTCCCCACCATTCCGCAAACCCCACGGGGGGTTTCACTCCCCTCACTCTTCCCCCCCACCCAAAAAGAAGTGGGGCGGAGAGTGTGCCTAACCAGTGAGCCCCCCAACAGCACAGACCCCCACCAAAAACCCCCACAACAGGTCCTGCTACCAGCACAGCTCACACCAAGGCAAAAACAAAATCAGAATTAAACAAAACGAAAACACGCGAGGCGTTCTGATAAAGGAGCGTTTCGAGGTGTTAATTACGTATTTCTCAAGGCAGGCAGGGGCTGAGCAAATAAAGGGCTGCCGGATTTCGGCGTGACTTCCTGCTGCCGGCAGCTTCCTCTGCCGACGGCGATGAACCCAAAAGACGTTTTCTGCCAGGGATCCCTCTGCCCATCCCACAGCCCCACAGTGCCGTGGGAGCCCCGCGCGCTCCCACCTCACACCTGGAGCGGGGCTCTCCCTGGGAATTTTGTAAAGGGAATAAACAGCCCAACTGGGAGTCATTAGAAGAAATAATAAATTAAAATAACGAAGTGGCTGCCTTGCCCGCAGGCACAGGGCAGGGCTGTGAACGCCCACGAGAGCATCGCTGGGCTGCTTTGAAGAACGCAAGCGGCCCGTTATCAGCACCAAAATCGAGTGTCCGTGGGGCAGAGAGCCCCTGGGCTGTGGGGGTCCTGCCCACCACAGGCAGTGGCTTGAGCCTCCCGCTACCCACAGAAAGGGGAGGTGATGGAGAGGCTCAGGCCTTTCCCAGTGCCCCAGAGGGGGGAAGCACAGGGCAACCTGTCGACCCCATTACCTCCACCACAGCTAACCCGAGGCCAGGGTGAGAGGAGCCCACAGAGGAACTCCCCAGCACAGCTGGGCAACTGGGGGTCCTGGGCAGGCAGGACAGGGTGCCTGGGCTTGCAGGGCCTTTGCTGGGGGAAGTCCATCCAACAGGAGGGTGAGGATGCCCCTGCCTGTGTCCCAAAGGGTTGTGCCCAGGCTGGACTGGGCTGGGGGAACAGTACAGTACTGGAGAGGCAGCCACTTCTGGGGGGAACCCCCCAGCCCAGGGTGGGGTAGCACCCACTCCCAAGGGACACCCAAGGCTTGCTGTATGGCAAGCACTCCACTCCCAGGGAGATCCCCAAAGTCTGAAGTGGGGCTGGCATCTTGTTTACAGAGGGGTGGGGAAGGCATCCCACCGCAGAGGGGATCCCCAGGGTCTGCTGTGGGGTCAGCACCGCACTCCTGGGGGAGATCCCCAAGGCCTGCTGCGGGGCCAGCACCCCACTCGGGGGGGGCGGTGACCCGGAAGCCTGGGGCGGGGCAGGTCCCCCGCTCCCTGGGGGATCCCCGGGGCCCGAGAGGAAGCCGACAGCCCACTGAGCGGGGACCCCGCAGCCTGGGCTGGGGCCAGCATCCCACTCATGGGGGATCCCCGGGGCGGGGCGGGGCGGGCACCCCCGGCGCTGGTACCCAGGGCAACGCTCCGGGCCAACGCGGGGCGGAGGCGGCGGATCCGCTCGGTTCCGGCAGGACCGGGCCGGGCCAGGCCGGGCGGGGAAGCCAAGTGGGGAGGTGGGGGGCTCCGGGGGGGCGGGCCCCGGGGTGGGGGGGGTCTCACCGAGCAGCAGCAGCTTCACCTCCCGCGCCGCCTTCTCGCCGTCCTCCCGCAGGTTCTTGTCGATCATGCGGGAGCGCTCGGCGGCCGCCTTGTCCTCGGCGCTCACGGTGCAGCCCATGGCGGCGGCGGCGGCGGCTGCTGCGCGCGCCCGCGGCTCTGCCGGCCCGGCCCGCCCCGACAGGCCCCGCCCCTGCGCGCGCCCGCGGGGCGGGGCCGGGGGCGGGGCCAGTAGGGCGGGGCGCTGGTGGGGCGGGCCCGAGGGGGCGGGGCCTCTTGCCCGCCGGAGCGCGGGCCCCCGCGTGGCAATGGCGGGAAACGGCGCGGGGGGGACATGGGGACGGGAATTGAGGAGGGACACGGCGTGTGAAGGGACAGGAGTGGGGCAGGACACGGTGTGTGAAGGGACAGGCGGGCACCGGCCACGGCGTGCGACGGGACAGACGTGGCGGGGGTGATGGAGTCTGGGTGCTGCATTTTGGGGCTGGGGCCCTTTGGATGCAGAGCAATAGGTGCAGCCTTGGGGTCAGCGGTGTGGGTGATGCTGCGTCTCAGGGCCACCTTCTGTGGGGACGCGGTGTCATGGGGTGGTGGCTCAGACCGTGGGGATCCCCTTGTTCTATCATTGCCCCTGGGGCTCAGCCCTCAGGGACCCACGTGCCACACTGACAGAGGAGGGGGCTTCTCGGTGGGTACCAGGGCTGGGGGTGCCTGTGGCAAGGGATGGGGCAGGATGGGACTGGCCTGGATGGGGCATCTGCAGCTCTCTGCCAGAACAGGGGGCACCCCAGGCGCTTGCCCCATCCCCGGGCTCCCACAGCTGCTCCCTTGGGAACTAGACCCCCCATGCCACCTGAGGAGGTGGGCAGGCTGTGCAAGTTGCCCTGCGGGGCTGGCCCGTGCCCAGGCAGCCGCCCTCACTCCGTACCAGCCCTACAGCAGCATCTCATGCCTGCCCGGACCCCCCAACCCCTCCCCACCCCCTCCACTGGCACCCACCAAGCAGGGTGGGGACAGCAAAGGATGCTCTAACTCAGAAGGGCAATGCCAGGGGAACGGGGGCAGCATGCTCCGTGGGGTCTGCATCCGTGGGCTTGGCGTGGCAGGAGCAGGGCTGTTCCCGTGGGAGCGGGCTGCCGTGCTAATAAGGCTTCACTAACGAGCTGGCGCTGAGCCCGGGCCTGGGGCCGGCGGAGAGGAGCGAGGGGCCAGGGCTGGGGGAGCCGGGGGGCTCACCCCCATGCCACACTGTGCCATGGGCAAGGGCTGAGGGGCTTTGGACTGGCACCCCCTGCCCTGGCCCTGGGCACAAGATGCCCCAGCCCCACTTCTACTGCAGCCCTGCTTCCACAGGAGCCCCACTCCCCAGGGATACTAGTGCCACGGCAGTCCCACTTCCCGGGGTTCCTGCTCCCACATGAGTCCTGCTCCCTGGGGGTCCTGCTCCCAAACTTGTCCCACTTGCCAGAGTCTTGCTCCCACACATGCCCCACTGTCCTGGGGGTCCTGCTCTCACAGGTGTCCTGCTCCCCTGGGGTTTTGCTCCCCAGGAGTTCTGTTTCCCCAGGGTCCAATGCCCACGAGGGTCCTGTTCCCACAGGGGTCCCTGCGCATCTGTGTCCGTGTATCTGTGCTGTCCTGCTGTACATCCATGCTCTCTGTCCTGCCAAGCATGCACATCCACTAACCCTGCACATCCACGTCCGCATTCCCTGCTGTCCTCACACACGTCCGTGCATGCGTGTCCGTCTGTCCGTGCCACCTCAGGACGCTGTGTGCCGGGTGCCAGCCTGCGTGCCAGCTCCTCGTCTGCCCCAGTGACGCCCGAGACCTGGGCACATTCACATCTTTATTTTCACCACCGGCCTCCCGCCGCCACCAGCACCACCTCCCCCAATAATTTACACGTGTCAAGGATGGCCACAGGGCAGCTGGGCTGGGGACAGGGACACCGGGGCCACGCTGCAGCCGGCAGTTCCCGGGCAGATAGCGAGGGTCCACGATGGTGTCCCCCCTCCCCTCCCCATGTGATACGTACATTATACAGAGCTACCCAGAGCAACACAACACGTTAAAAAAGATCTACTCTTATGTACAGTATTTATAAAAAGCATCCCAGCCTCCACCACCCAATAAAAAAATACATCTCTTATGTACTTTGCTGCAGGACAGACCCCCCCTGACCCGTGCTGCCCACCCTGCCAGGCTGCCCTCCGTGCTGGGAAGGGAGGCCGGGGGTGGGAGAGCCACTGTCCAGCTTTTGGCATGGTTTGGGGTGTCCCAGCAGCATGGATGGATGGATGGATGGATCGGTGAGGGCTGTGGGGGCCTGGGTGCTGGCCCAGGGTGCAAGGCGAGCAGGGACAGCTTGGTTTGCTGGGGTGCCCATCACCCTGGTGTCTGGGCACGCAGACGGGGTGCCTCCGCAGCCCTGAGCTGGCCCCCCGTGAGCACTGTCCCCAGACCACCCCACACCCCCCTGTGCCCCTCGGGTGGGCCAGGCCCCTGGCAGCCAAGCTGCAGCACGGGCAGGATGCCAGTGGGCACCAAGCCCCTGGCGTGCGTGTCACCTCCCCAGAGCAATGCAGCCAGTCCCCAAACATGGCCTAGGGGTCAACAGGGTCCCATCCGCAGGCACCAGGACTCCAGCAGGCTCAAGAGCAGAGGGCTGGGTACCACCAGCCACAGCAGCAGGACCACCCTTGCCCACGGGGACTGGAGTACACCCATGATGCCAGGGCAGTGGGGTGGCATCTTTCTGGGGACTGGGGGACAGCAGAAGGAGAGGGTGGGTGGCTTGGGCACAGGTGCTGTCACAGATCTGACTGCCCTGATAGATTCCAGCCACCAGGGACACTGTTCATCAGGGCTCTTGATGCTGTCGGGGTGGGGGGGGCCAGGAAAGTGTCCCCAGTCCTCGGTCCCCATGGCGGACAGTGCCCCACGCCCCTGGCAGTGCCTGCTGCTGGCGGCTCTGGGGGTGCAGAGACGAGCCCCACCTGACAACCAGCTCCGGGTGAGGTAGGGCAGTATTATTGTCCCCATTTTACGGATGGGGAAACTGAGGCGCGGAGCAGGGAGAGTACCTGCTGGAGTGGCTGGGGGGCACAGGACCTGCCCCAGGCTCACTGCCCCATCCCAGGCACAGGTCAAGGAGTCCCCATGCCTGCCATGGCTCATGCCCCCTCACCACCACCAGAGGTGATGGGCAGAATTCCCCAGGGAATCCCAGTGTGGCTGCAGCATGGGGGCTGAGCCCGGGGCTGGCTCTCCCTGGGGCACCGGTGGGGGGGGTTGGCATGGGCACCCGGTGCTGGCTAGTGGCTGCCGCCGCTCTTGCCCCCACCCGTGGCCCAGTCGATGATGATGAAGCTCAAGCTCATGATCATGAAGACCACCCCAAGGAGGGCGAAGCAGGCAGCCTGTGGGGACAAGGAAGGGGCTCAGGGACAGCCAGGGTGATGGGGTTCCCAGCCAGCCCCAGAAGCCCTGTCCCCGTCCCCATCCTTGTACCCTCTGCCCACACTTACCAATATTTTGGGGGTGGAGCGCAGCGGCTCCTTGTCCTTGGGCATGATGCGGATGTAGAAGATGGCAGGGAAGATGAAGATGAGGCAGGGAGCAGAGGTGGCACCTGGAGCAGACAGGGACAGAGTGGGCAGAGGCCTCCCACGCCGTGGCTCAGCCTTGCCAGCCCCACTGCCAGGCCAGGTCTTGTTCCCCCCCGTTCCACCCCCTCACCCCCCTCCCAGGCCTGGCAAAGCCTTCCAGGAACCCAGGGACTCGGTGTGCTGGCACTGTCCCCACCCCCCTCCTGCAGCCAGGGCCTTGGCACGGAGCTGAGGGCCGAGAGGGGGGAGCCGGGCTGGGGGGATCAAGAGAAACACGCAGGGGAAGAGAAAGTGCTGCCACTGCACTGCAGGAACCAGCCTTCCAGGATGGGGATGGGATGGGGGATGCCCCATATACCAGCTGGTCCTGGCATGATGGGAAGGGGAAAGTGAGGCACAGGGGGGTCAGACAAAGCCAAGCACCAGCCAGGACAGGGGCTGGTGTGCTGCTGCAATACCCCCTGCCCAAGGGGGGACAGGAGTAGGGCACTACCACCTACCAATCAAGCCAAAGATGCCAAGAATGGAGGGGGCAAAGATGACCAGGAGGTTGATGAAGGTCAGCAGGACCACTGCAATGATGACGTGGCGGATCCAGCTGAAGTCTTTCCCTTGGAACAGCATCTGCTGGATGGCCCGGCGCACCTGGGGACAGGGACAGAGTGTCACACTCCATCCTTGGAGCCAAGGTCCATCCCATCCCCTGTCATTGCAATCCTGCTGGTCACCATCACCCCTTCCCCTGCCCAAGCCCTGACCCTCATGCCCCACTGGTCCCCATCACCCATCTCTCTGCCCCAGCCCTGTTCCTGGCACCCAGCATGTCCTGTTCCCCAATTCCTGTCCTCATTGCTGCCTCAGTTTCCCCTCTCAAAGCCTGGTGCTGAAGCCACCTGGCATTCCTGCAGGGCCACTCACCGGGAAGAGGACGATGGGGACAGTGAGGGTGACAGCCGTCAGCACAGCCACCCGCACACACAGGATGAGCACGTCAAAGGGGTCCACTTTGTTGTACGTGTGCAGCAGCTCTGACTCCACACGGCCTGCAGACACCAGTGGGGAGCTGCTGGGTGAGACCCAGCACCACCACCCCTCTGGCACCACGTGCCAGCAGGGCACCCAGCCCCCTCCCTGAGGGCTCACCATAAAACGTGAGGTAGCCAAAGAGGGCAGCCAAGAAGTACATGAGGTACATGACCGCGATGGAGATGTTGGAGATGCACTGCATCTTCTTCTTGGAGGGGCTGTGGGAGACGGCAGGCTCAGCACAGCCCCCTGGCACCCCCTGGCACCGAGCACCCACCCAACAAGGAGGGGTGTTGCCAGAGCACCTTGGGGTGTGTAAGGGTTGTGCGGAGAAGGGCTGCACCCCCCTTCCTGGGCTGTGTGGTGTGTTGGATCACCCACCACCAGTCACCCACCCACCCACCCATCTCGGGTCACAACACCCACCTCAAAGGGGTCATACCACCCACCACCCATTCCATGTCGCATCACCCACCTCCCAGGGGTGATACCACTTACCACCACCCACCCACCCTGGGCCATAACACCTACC